TAATTAAATTGTAGAACAGATATTAAAACCACCCAGTAGGTGGCAGCAGAGCACTGTCTTCATTCAAATGGAGAAACTGAACAAAACTTTAATGGATTAGTAAATAATAAATAATGAAATTGATTGCATCCATAGATGACACACCATGTAATATGAAAAAAATTAATAAAAAATTTTACTCATGCTGGAACATTTACATATAACAGATCATATACATGTATATTCATAGCAGCGTCAAAGTAAAAATAAATCCATTATATGATGAAATAATCTGATTTAATAAGTAAAAAGGTTACAAACATATACTTCCCTTAATAAATAATAGCTTATCCCTGCTCTTAATAAAACTCAAAGCAGTGCAGTATTGAAAGAGAAACAATTGGACACATGCCCAATATTTTTAATAGTATAATTGTAATATTTTCAATTGTAAATTTTCCAGAGAACTCTCCCATTCAAAGGGAAAAAATTTAACTGAACTAAAAGCACTGTCGGTTTTTATTTTTTCAGACTCCATCTTTATTTGCTGTAAATATGCAATATGCATTTGCATTTTGAAGCAAAATAATAAACCATTAAAATATCAGAACTAAAATCACTGCGTTTCTGAAGTGACACCATTGTGAAAAGAGTCTTTTGAGTCTTTTGTAATATTTTTTTAGCAGGAAAAATACCATTATGAAATTCACATAACTGTTAACATATAAAACACTCATCAAGAATGCCCACTTTTGTGCAATTTTGTGTTCATTAACAATAAAAACAATATTTCAGAAATTGTACATGCATTTCCTGTTTACTGACACCACGTAGTGGGCATTCACGCTATTGCGTTTCCACTAACCAATGAAATTACAGGTGGGCGTGGCTGAATGTGCAGCCCCGCCCCACATTCATCCCCGCCCAGATCTGCGGGCTGCAGACAGGGGCTTCTCACTGATCCTACTGTTTCCTGCAGTGTCGTTATTCGCCTGCAGGTGGCGCCCGCGCGTCATTTAGAAAACTACAACTGCCAAACATTGAGTAATATGAGCTGAAATGCAGTCAGTTTGCCGGTGTTTAATCATCTCTCGAGTGAATCTTCGCTCTGCTTCATCTTCTTGACTCTGTAATGAGGCTATAGACGATGTTTAACCCGAAATCACACCCTCAGTTCTCCTGAATCCAGCTTGATACCGCGGCTCTGATCGGATGTAAGTCAGCAGTGATTCATTAAGTCTTTCTTTTGTTTTCCGTGTCTCAGCAGAAGTGAACTTCTTTGGTGGAGTTCAAAGAAATGCTGAGTTTAAATCCGCAGAGATTGAGCTCATGAACACACGCTAATGACTGAATAATGACTCCGGTTAATGACTGCAAACATCATTGACTTCACAGTGAACTGCTGAACATCAGCACTTTACTTTATGGAGATTAATAAACTAGCTTCAGCACTGCACTCAGTCCAGTCTCCTTTTTAAGATAGATGTGTTTTTCTATCCAGTCTGATCATCTTTAGATTATAATTCTAGATCAAAATCTTGAAAAATCAAGCCGTATCTGCTCTGAATTGCTGGGGGCGTGTCCGTTTTCGATGAAACCACGCCCACGCTTCAAAGCTGCCGCCCAGGGTTGCCAGGTTTTCTCAACAAAACTAGACCACATATCTACATCTGAACTGAACATATGTCGACAGCCTTTTGTAAAATACACATTTTACATCACTGTATGCATTATTTACTTGAAAGCTCACATTATTATTTGGCTATTGTAAAAAATCCAACCTTAAAGGTCCCTTGAAAAGCTTTGAAATGTGTATGCCCTGCTGAAAAATCCAGCTTAAACCAACCTAGGCTGGTTGGCTGGTTTTAGCTGGTCGACCAGCCTGGTTTTAGAGGAGTTTTGGCCATTTCCAGGCTGGTTTCCAGCCATTTCCAGCCTGGTCTTAGCTGGTCAAAACCATATTAGGCCTACATTTAGTAAACAAAAATGTACGACGGTAGGAAGTGTTGTATTTTCTCACATTTTAGTTAAATGTTTTTAAATAACCAGCCAAATCCAGCTAAAACCAGCTTGATTAGCCTGGTTTAAGCTGGATATAGCTGGTTTTGGCTGGACTCCCAGCTTGGCTAGGCTGGTCAAGCTGGTTTTAGCTGGTCATCTCCCAGCCTGACCAGCTAAGACTGGAAATGGCTGGAAACCAGGCTGGAAGTGGCCAAAACCCCTCTAAAACTAGCCTGGTTGATCAGCTAACCAGCCTGGGCTGGTTTAATCTGGATTTTTCAGCAGGGTGTTTATTAGATGTTTGATGTAATCGCAACTAACACATGAAGAGAGGGTAGGACATAGTGTAGATTCTCACTTTTTTGACAGACGGCTCACCGGTCAGGTATACATCTGCGCTAATATAGTGTAGCATGTTTGAAAAGGTTTAATACAGTTCCTGTGTTCTATTTTGGGCTGTATCTGTGTTTGCAATGTGGGGTTGTAAGGGGCTAGATTTTGGGGGAAAAGCGTGTCTGTGCACTCGAAAGGGAGGGAGGGGTTTTCTGATTGGATGAGACGGGTATGTTATTCTGTGAGTGAACACTGTGGGTTTGGGAGTGAACACAAGGATTAGTTTGTCTGAGCGTGCAAAAGTTGATTAAAAAGACAAGTTGAACTGTATGTATGATCAAATGCACTTAGCTTATCATTTAATATCATTACATTTTTGGTGTCTGCATAATAGTCTATGTTCTTCAAGACCTCTGGTTCTGAAGTCCTAAACCGTAAACAATAATAATTATATAAATATTATATTAAAGATTCAGTTTTAGTCATTTCATATGCTTCTTTTAGTGCAGTTGGTTGCCCAAGCAGCATTTCGGATCTTTATTTAAAGTTTTAAGTGTTTCATCTGATATTTATATATCATAAATAGGATTTTTAAGTGTGCATAGTGCAGTAGAGTAGGCTATTGGAGTATGCTAGCCTACATCTGTTTCTGAACACACCCAAATCCTAAGTGAGCAACCACACGATCATTAAAACACATTCAAGCGTTCTCTACTCAAGTAAATGTTTGCTTTATTTACTTAAATGGCAAAAGTAATCCCCACAAAGCGTTTTAAAAGCTTCTTTAGCTCATTTCAGTCCAAAACCTAAACCATTAGGCCTACATTTAGTAAACAAACCGACGGTAGCGTTGTATTTTCTCACATTTCAGTTAAATATTTTTAACCTTTAAAAAGACCTGTTGAGTCATTTAAGCTGCTGAGGAAAGTTGCAATTGAAATCTGCAGTTTTTATGTATTTTATGTATTAATTTTCAGTTTAGTCGCGCTAGTTTGTCTGAGCGTGCAAAAGTTGATTAAAAAGACAAGTTGAACTGTTAAATGCTTCCTGGCTTCTTCAGTTCGTTACAATATTAAGGTGAAAGTCATCATAGTTTGCGTAAAATAGACCCAGCTCCCATATTTTTTATCGCGCGATAAGAGTCTCGCGTTAAAGCAGATAACGGCCCACAACTAATATATATATATATATATATATATATATATATATATATATATACTCCGTTTCACCACCCTAGCATGTTTTTTATCTTTGGTAGCATGTACATTTAGTAGAGTGAAATATTTCATTTATTCATTCATTTTCTTGTCGGCTTAGTCCCTTTATTAATCTGGGGTCGCCACAGCGGAATGAACCGCCAACTTATCCAGCGAGTTTTTACACAGCGGATGCCCTTCCAGCCGCAACCCATCTCTGGGAAACATCCAATCATACACACTCATACTCATACACTATGGACAATTTAGCCTACCCAATTCACCTGTACCGTATGTCTTGGGGGAAACCGGAGTACCCAGAGGAAACCCACGCGAACGCAGGGAGAACATGCAAACTTCACACAGAAACGCCAACTGAGCTGAGGATCGAACCAGCGACCTTCTTGCTGTGAGGCGAACGTGCTACCCACTGCGCCACTAAAATATTTCAACAACCATATAAATATAATTGATGCAATATCTGCAGGGGTGGAAATCATGCACTTGGCAACCCTGCTGCCACCCTCCAAAGGTTGCTACAACCTGAATGGATCCTCCCTCCAGCTATTGAGCTCTATTATGGGGAGGAGCTATACTCAGTGGCTCGATTGTGTCATCAAGTCTTAATTTAGTTAAATAATACGCTCACATATATCATGTCAATGCAGAGTTTTATTTTGGATGCGATTAATCTTTGCCCAGCCTTATATACAATTCTCAGAAATTATTTTACATGGCCTTTAATGATACGGAAATAAGACCAGCCTATATGTATATAGTGCATGTGTGTGTTTCTCAGCTGAATATGTGGTGTCTCTGTGTGTTTGTGTACTAGTTTAGCTATATTAGTAAGGTCTCAATTGCATTTAATAGTATTTAATGTACTAGTTTCAGTGAGGGTTGATTTAGGGGTTGGGTTAGGGCTAGGGGTAGGCCACAGACACTGTCATTAACCTCATAGAAAAACAAGGAAGTATATTATGTCCTCACTAAAATACTGAAACAAATCTGTGTGTGTATACAGGTTTAGCTATACTTGTGAGGGCTCAGTTGTCGTCACTTATGTAGTGAGATATCAAACTGACCTATTAGTGGACATTTCACTGCTCCTCACTATTTAAATGTGCTTATAAAACAACCAGATGTTTTTATTTGTATCTAATGATGTGTTGGTTTAGGGGTCGGGTTAGGGCTAGGGCTAGGCCATAGACAGTATCATTAACCTGATAGAAAAAAATAGAAGTTTATATAATGTCCTCGGTAAGATAGTGAAACAAACCTCTGTGTGTGTGTGTTTGTTCGTGTGTTTGTGTTTGTGTTTGTGTGTGTGTGTGTTTGTGTGTGTTTGTGTGTGTGTTTGTGTGTGTGTTTGTGTGTGTTTGTGTGTGTGTGTGTGTTTGTGTGTGTGTGTGTGTGTGTGTGTTCATCAGTCAGCTGGTATACTGGGCATCTGTCAGCCGGTATGACTACTCAGTGTGTGTGTCTGCTCACCGTGTGTAATGATGGACGGAAGCAGCCAGAGCGTTTCCAGAACCTCCCGGGAGAATACCCAGGGGAGTCTGAATGGCCTTCTCCCAATCTGGCCTCTCCATCAGCCCGTTCACCACCTACAGCACACGCATACAAACACAGGTTTGTTTTTGTGAATTGTGGGGACACTCCATAGGTTTCTATTGTTTGTTTACTGTACAAACTGTATTGTCTTTCGACCTAAACCCAACCCCAACAGAAAACTGTGCTCATTTTCACTTACACTTTAAGAAAACTAAATACTTAATTAACAAAATAATTCTGCATGATTTTTAAGTCTTTTGAAAAATGCACTTATGCAATGTCCCCGTAAGTCACCTTCTCCTTATAATACCTGCATCATACTCATAGCATTATACAAGATTGTGTCGTCATATGTCACAAACACACACCTCAAAGAGTAGCCCGTCTCCAGACAGGATGATCAGGGCGTCCCACTGCGACAGGTCTGTGCTCCTCACCAGATCTCGGGCGTGATTCTGACGTTCTAAATACAAAACCATCAGTAAACACACTTTATTACTAACACAAAACACCATCCTTATATACACACGCTTCAATATAAACACAAAACTCAATCAGTAAATCACTTAACCCTTGTGTACTGTTTGTATTGACCACACTTTCATTATGTTTGGGGCTATTTTTGCCCCATTGACCTCCATTGTAATGTCATTTGTTGATTGCAAAGCCATTACAGCATATACTCATGCATTCTTGATTGTTGCTGGTTTTCCCTGTTGGGAAGAGATGAAATGTGTTATTTTACACACTTTTGTTTTTAAATTGGTGCAAAAAGAGCCACGAATTTAATGGAAAGGTAGTAAATTTGCCCAGAGTGTATTGTTAAATAAGCATTTTCCCAAAATATGTGTCAAAATAAGATCTGTTACTAATAATCAGTCCATTTGCTGAAACACAGAGAAAGCTGTGGCCAAATTAAGACTCGAAATCAGCCCAGAGTGGATGTAAACATCTCCAACAGCACACAAAAGGGTTAATTAAATCACTTAATAATTAAAAAACGCACTGTATTCAACCATTTCAAAAGCATTTTCATTTAAATTCACATTCACCTCTCAGTCGTATACTCAACAACCACTTGTTTTTCACCATGTGCAACTGACCAAACCTTTAAAATATGGAGCAATGATAGCATAGATTATTTAATACTACATTTAGTGATCTTAAATTCACATATAATTTTCAACTCTTTCCCCCAAGTTTTCCCCAACTAGCTGAAAAAAAAGCCCTGATCAAGAATGCATTGACGTCCTCCTCGGATAGCAAATGCGCTTCATTATTTTCTCTAGTCCATTACACATGACTATTGGATTACAAGAGAAACTCCGATACACCTGCAGAAAGAGAGAGAGCTCTGGATCACTCACATTCATCTCAATGCAGACATACTTTAGCATCATTGAGATATTATGGACCCAATCATGCACCCGGCGCAATAGCGCAACCCTAATTTTCATGTTTTGCGCCACGTTGTTTTAACAGCAAATCCATTTGTGCTACTTTGTGGACTCATGGTTGTGCTGGTCTAGAGAGGAGGTGTGTTAAGGCGCATTGTTGGCGTGATGCTATTTAGAGGAACTGAAATTGACCACACTATTGACTATCTAAAAGCTGCTCTAAAGTCCAGCGCAGAGTGTGCTAGTTAAGCGCCTATGCAAGTCCAGACACTTCCACATTGCTTAATACACACAGGATGTACAGCAATACACAAATATCTTTACTGATGAAAACAAATAAAGGATTAAAATATTACAAAATGTATTATTTACTACATAAATATATAAAAAAACACTGCCTCCATGCCTTCTGCACCTCGGGGGGCTTTTTCAGTTTATTCATGACAGTTTGCATTTGTATAATGTTATTATTATTATCAGTATTATTTACTATACGCATATTTATATTTGTTTTAATTAAACGAGTTTAGATTTGTCTACCTGTGGGATTTTAGAGACATCTGCATCACCATATGAGGCATAAGATCTGGACGTGGGTTTGGATATAACTCAGTTTTTGAACACACTTTGTTATTATTGTTCATTTAGTCATTTGCTGGAGATTAAAACTGAATTTAGAAATAGTTTGAAACAAATGGGGTGTGTACAACACCGGTTCCTTACTCTAAAGTAAAGGAGTAAAGAGTAGAAGAGGCTGAATGGAGGAGGCTCGTTCTTTATCCTTGCACTGCAGATGCTCTGTTGAACTGTTTTCTCGCTAGTGAAGCTTCAGTTTTTCCACTTCCAAAGTCGCTATTGTAAATAGCAAATGCACCATGGCAAGAAGCAACTGACTCCTAAACGGAATGTGACAGGAGACTCTGATTGGTTTAATGCACCAATGCTCAAAACACACCTATAACTCATTAAGAGAATAAGCACAACCCTGTTAGACCATGCGCCGGGGCGTAAACCCTATTTTTCCATCCCTACAATAGCAAAAGTGGATTCAGACACGCCCTTAATGCTTTTGCGTCATGCGTTTTAGACTTTGCACTTGTAAAAATAGAGCCCAAAATGTTTTATCAATGGTTTGAATTAGGGGGTGTATTTAAAAAAAACTGTGGTCAACTTATAACAGAAAATTATTATTTTGCATTGTGCCCATTTTTATTAAACAATACTGAAGTTGTCACATTTATAGATACAATATTTTAGTTTAAGTTTTATTTGTTTTGTTTTGCCCTTTAATTTTAATTCCTTTTATTTAGAAGTTCTAGTTAAAGGTAAAATAAATGGAAAAAATATGCTTTTGAATCTTAGTTTAGATTTTTTTTTTTCAGAACTATTTTTAATATTATTTATTTACATTTTTATGGTTTTAGTGAACCATAATAACCTAATCTCAATTATCATATCAAAGAATTCTCTGAATTTGTGTGTGTGTGTGTGTGTGTGTGTGTGTGTGTGTCTGTGTTTGTTTGTGTGTGTGTGTGTGTGTGTGTGTGTGTGTGTGTTGGTGTGTGTGTGTGTTCATGAATATGTGTGTGTGTGTGTGTGTGTGTGTGTGTGTGTGTGTGTGTTTGCATGCATGTGTATGTATTTGTGTGTGTGTGTGTGTGTGTGTGTGTGTGTGTGTGTGTGTGTGTGTGTCTTGGAACACGGGCTCATTT